GCTAGGTATATATCCCTAAAATTGAAGAGATATTCAAATAAAAACTTGTACGTCAACGTTCATAGCAGCACTACGCACAATAGCCACAGGGTGGAAATAATCTAAACAAACGTCTATTAACTGATGAATGGATAATCACAATGTTGTATAATCATATAATGGGTTATTTTTCAGCCACAAAAAAGAATAAGGTAGTAACGCAACATGGATAAACCTAAAAAAACATATGTGAAGTGAATACAGACAGACTCCAAAGGTCACATATTGTATTACTGCATTTATATAAAATTCAGAATAGGTAAATGTCTGGAGATATAAGGCAGACTGCAGGTTGTCAGGGCCTGGAGAGAGGGAGGAATAGAGACTGATTGCTTAATGGGTACAGAGTCTCCTCTAGAGGTGATAAAGATGGTTTAGAATTAGATGCTTGCACAACATGGTGAGTGTACTAAATGCCACTGAATTGTATACTTTAACATGGTCAATTGTACGTTATGTGACTTTTGCTTCAATTTAAAAAATGTCAATAGCACTGAGGTTGAGAAACCATTCTAAACATAGGTACACCAAAGGTTGTTTTTGTCTCAAATAGCTAAAAATCAGAGAAGATTGCAATCAAAGACAAAAACCATCAAGTACTACAATGAGGGTTTTTTTTTTTGTTTTTTTAAGACTGACCCTTAAATAAACACCCTTTTTTTTTTCCTGGTGGGAAAGACTTGCTAGGAAAAAATAATGGCTGTTGTCAGCCCCAAGCAGATTTGATATTGCTGTTATAAAATTATGAAGATAAGGATTTATGATAAATTGGTGACATCATCTAAACTGCAGAGGTATGAATATGTTACTGTAATAAAAAAATTCACAGATTTAACACAGTCCAGAAAATGAAATAATTGTCTTTAAATGTGTGCCTGCACTTGAACGATAAACGAGGGAGCTGTCAAACAAAATTAGGCCATACATTATGAGACAGTCACTTTACAAGGCTTGTCAATATGAACATCCCATTCTCCATTTGAAAATATGGAGCTGTATACTCAGAGCTAAAGTTCAGGATTGGTCTCAACCAAATGGTAGCTTGGCAGTGAATCAAAAGAGCTTAGAGATTTACTGTGGTAGCTATAAACCATCTTTCCTTCCATGAAGTCTTGATAAGTGGGGGGACATGTTTGGGTCCCTTGGACTAAAGGAGCCAGGCACATTCAGGGACCCAAAGGAATTAAGCTACTATGTTTATAAAAAACAAAAACAAAAACAAATCAAAGGCTGTGCCTGGCAGCACTGCCAGTGTTACTCTGCAGCATGGCAATATGTTCATGCATACCAGACCATCAGGGGCATGCCACCATATTAAGTATGGGAAATGCGGATGGAAACTGACTTTTTAGATTACCATTTTTATAGACCTAGGATTTTTTTTTCCAGGCTAGGTAAAAGTTATTTCCAAAGGCTAAATGCTGGAAAAGGAAAAACAGAAAAAGTGCTAAGTTATCTTCATATTTTTATTTTAATTATTCTCTACAAATAAAAACTGTTGGCTTGCTATCATTCAGCTATTCCAGATATTATTTTCTATAAAACAAAGTAAAATTAATCATTTCAAAGATTCATGGCTAAATATCATTCCTATTTTATAAGAAAGGAGTAGGAGCATCATGTGGTTAGTTATGATTGTAACAGCAGGATGAATTTCTTCCAGGAGCTATGTTCTTAAGTTAAAGATAGTGAAATTAGCCATCAATAGCTGCATTTTAGGCTAGTCAATACCACAAATTGCTGATATAGAACTTAGAACATTCAATAAGAGAATGATGGCCAGTGAACATGAATGTCACTGTCTATACCTGTTCAACTGTTTAACTGTAAAATAAAACAAAATGCATATATTGCAGTCAAAAAAAAAAAAAAAGAAAAACCATAAAGATAAAAACCTATTGATGAAGAAGGACGACTTTCACCTGCAAAGTGTCTCTGGCCCCTTACTTTAGGGAGCCTTCCACTGTGGGTTGTGTACAGCAAGCTTCTGAGTTGAATTATCTTGTTATTTATTTTGGTGACTGCCAATCAGTGCTACTGCCTTTGCATCTAGGGACGCCCACAGTTCTGAGGATACTGATATTCGAGGTAATCCACTATCTGCTACATAACGTGTTTTAGCTGTTACTATAAACGGTGATGAACACTGAGCCATTTCTCTTTGCCTACCTATCCAGTCCTCCATGCTATGAGAAATATATGAACATCATCATAGATCTTGGAAAATATTTTCTTCCACACCTTTCACAGCAACTTTTTTTTTTTTTACATTGATGTAAGGCAGAAATGTCAATTGGTTGCCTCCTGTATGTGCCCCGACTGGGGATCAAACCCACAACCTTTTTGGGGTAGGGAATGACACTCTAACCAACTGAGCAACCCAGTCAGAGCATAGCTCCTAAGTTTTTAATCTACTTTTATACACTACTGATGAATAGGGTATTCAAAACATGATTTATTGGAAGAAAATAAAAACTAGATTATGACATAAGGAGATCTAGGTTTGCATTTTGGCTCTCCGTTTATAGGCTGTGGGCTTTACACAAGACTTTCTCTCACAACCCTCTGTTTTGTAATAAATAAAATGAAGATAATAATCTCTATTTACATCATAGGGTTGTCTTACAACTCAAATAAAATAATGTAGGAGTCTGTGAGTTATGAAGTGCTCTTCAGATACTTGTTAATATCAATTACATATTCTTAAGAGTCCTAAATACTAGCTCGGAAAATGGGCTATGTAGTAGATGGGATTTCAATGCCACATACAATGGACACTGATGGTGGTCTAATAAGAAATTAAATATACAAGTCTGTTCTCATCCCAATCCCCACCATTTTTAAGACTTTGTTTATAATTTTTATGTAAAATAAATGATTCGTCTAACACATATTTATGATTTTTTCATCAAAGAATACAAAAAAATTCACCTCAATTTTAATTTTCCACCTACACTGTATAGTTTTCCAGCTTTGTTGTTTTTGTGATTCCTTAATGAGGCTAGTGGCATATCTTTGTAACATTTTCTTCTGTTGTCCCTTTCTTTGATACATTGAGCTGTTTGTGAGAAGCTTTATCAAATCCAGTAAAACTTCATTGTACATTTCCAGAAAAGAAAAAAAATGAGCACACAGTAACATTTTTTTCACTAGCAGTGCCAGCAATTAACACGTATAATCAGGCCAACTAAGTAAAGATTGGAGAGTAAAGGATAGAGCACAAACAGCTGACCACTTTACAAGCTTCTGTGTGTTTATAAAAGGAGCACTTTTTGGAGCACTTTCTTTATCTCATCTCCACTTGGAAGCATGCCCATCTTGCAGATTACATTACCAGGCCCTGTCCTTTAGCAAGGACTCTATTAATTGCCTGACCATTTAAATAAACACTTGCTGGGGCAACTTTTAAAGTAAGCATCTAACGATCTCCTTGCTAATGACCTGATGATCATTTTGAAAAGGAAGAGAGGAAACAAGAAGAAATGTGTTGCCCTGTATCACTGTAGCTCTCTTCTCGAAATCTACCTGAAGCCTGAGATTAGGTGAGGACCAAACCACAATGAGTTAGTTACTCTGGAAGCTTCTGTTGACGACTGACTTGGGGTTAGGACATGGCATGGATTAGTCACAAAATTTTGACAAGATTTCTTTATTTATTCATTTTTAAAATTTTCTGAATCATCAGATAGTAATCTCTTTTCTGAAGTCTGGGAAAGAAGCAGAATCCCTGGAATCTGTCAGTCTTCAAGGAAAGTTCTGGCAAAAAAAAAAAAACAAAAACCAAAACCAAAAACAGGCAAAATCTGACTCAACAGGTTCAGGAAGGTATTTTGCATGATTAATTAAGGGCCAACCAGGGCCCATACTAAAATGGGACAAAGTGCCTAGAGCACAAAATACAAAGAGGCATTTTCTATCACTTGCACAACCCTAGTCAGCCCTGCTGATTAAATAACTTCATTTTAACTATTAAAAATCAAAACCAATGAAGATATATGTATTCAATAATGATAGCAATAAGCAGATACCACTGCTCTCTCCCATTATAATTCATAGAGTTCTCAACACACTTTTCATATAGATTATTACATTATGCCAATCTCACTTTCCTAGGGCTAGAAGTACACAATGTATTAATCCCACCTAAGACATGAACAAACACGTTTAGGGGAGCTCTAGGATTTGGTTAAGGTAGTAAAGGTAGTAGAGGTAGACACCTGTGATTCTTTATGTCCAGTACTCTTCACACTACACTACACAACACCAAGTCTCCCTGTGATGTCCTTTATAGCATCTGATTTTATAGTGTGCATTGATTAGGATTATTTATGAAGTCACTAGTGGCTGGTTTAGATTAACTTTACAACAAAATGAGCTTAAATTTGTCTATTAACCACTGACCATAAATAGCCTTATGAGAAAACAAAAATAAACAAAAAGATTCATTTAATGGTTCTTAATGCCAAGCTTTAACATTTTAGGGGAAATCAAAACCATTTATAAATCAGCCTCACAGATAAATTTTTTAATACTGTCATTAGTTGCATGGTAGAATTGTTTCTTTTTGTTGTTGTTGATGTTATTATCAACAAGGCTTAGCAACCATTGGAAGCATGTGGGTAATTTTGCTAAGAGTTGTAAAGAAGCTTGGATTAGGGCGGGCCTATGTAGTATCAAGTCTAAGCTTTCTCCCCTTGTACTGAGAGATGTCCAGAAAAGAGCACAAGGAAAAAAAGACCCTTGCCCACTTGCCAGCAAGCAACATGTGGTCTGTTGGTCTTTCTCTGCACAGCCCTGCTTCAGACAAAAACTTTCTAACACTAACCAGAAATACAATTTAGGTGTCCAAAAAAACAAAAACAAAAAAACAAAACAAAAACGGAGTTGCAAATCTAATTTTCTGGATACAGTTGATTAATATGGAAAGAGTCTAAATTATTTAAAAGTGAAGAGAAACTTACTCCTCCCCATGTTTTCTTGTGGTCCCTGGGAGATTCCTGGACGATGATTCCCTGTTAAAACAGCACATACACACAGTCAGGTTCACAGAGGCTGAGTCACTAAACTACATCAAATAATTTCCATTAAACTTGATGAGGTCAACATTAGCATTTCATTTCAGTACATTCTAATCTTGCCCCTTTACAAAAATGTTTTCTCTATCACAAACAGATATTTAACTTCAAAGGACAGAAACACAGTTTTCTGGATGCACGAGGTTTATACAAACTTACTATGACCTTGTTTATCTAGCATTAGTTTCTGCCCTGGCCAAATAAGACTCATCGAATTGGTCACATGCTTATCCCTTAGGAAAAGGCAGTGATATCAATATAAGTTGGTGGATAAAAATGCCAAAAGGCCCAATTTTAATAACTGGGCTATCATGTTATTAGTTTGCCTATCCCTGGCTTCTCTTCAATGTCATTCTGTGACAAATCCAATACCCTTTATAGTGTAACACCTTCCTGAATGGTGTTAAACAGCAGTGCCTCTAATGAAATTATCCCTGAGGCAAAGCAGCCCACAGAGTTATTACCCATAAACAGTATGAATCAATAACCATGAACTACTGACAACAAAAGCTTTGGAGGAAAAAAAATATGTATTGCAAGAGCAAGCATACACAGAGGAGCAGCAATTCTCTTTTTAAAAGATGAAAATACATACACAGAAGCCATTTCATACCACAATGCTTCATTTTTCTTACAGGTTTCAATCACAGAATGATCACACATTTATTGTTTACCTGCTACATTCCCAATATGGAGCTAAGTACCAGAAAGGCAAAATTATAAGATATAATCTCTCAATCCATTAAGGAATGCATAACCTACTTAAAGCTAAGCACACAGGGGAAAGTGATGTCATCAAAATGGCCATGCAAATCTCCTTCATAGGCCAACTTCAGTCCCTCTCACAGGAAGATCAACTAGCAGCTATCCATAGAAAAGACATCACTGTAAAAATCCCACATTAGAAGGGTAAGAGGACTATATATGCTCTGAGCACACTGCTCCTCCTCCACACTGACACGGTGCCACACCAAGAGGGTACCCCGAACCTGTGGTTTCTGCAGGGTGAAAAGAGAGCCTGAGGTGTACATCCGAGTTCCCCCAGCATGTGAAATGCTTCCCAGGAGGCTCACTCACGTCTTGTCTCATGTGAGTCACTGGAAGAATCTGCCGGGCTTTGATAGATGTGGATGAGGGGGGTGGAGGTTACAGAAAATACTGCTTAAGTCTTGGCAGACAACACTCCTGTTTGCAGCACTCACTGAGCGGAGATCCCAGCCAGATCTCTGTCCATCTGCAGAGCTGAGCCAGTGACCCCTCTGGCTAGGGAGCTCTGTTGGCAGTTCTGCCTGATTCTGATCCCTAGTCAGTGGGCCATATGGTCAGTAAAGCCTGTTCTACCACCCTGCCCAGGAAAGGAAGCAAATTCTCATCCCCACCCAAGTGCTGAGTGTAGCCTCTAGTTCTGCCCACCCAGGAGGCCTGGCCAGAGAACTAAAACAGCCTGTGGAGCTCGATCTTACAGCCCTGCTTGGTCAGGGAGGCAAACTGGCAGCCCTGCCCAACTGTTAAGCATAGCCTCTGGCCCTCCTTAAGTAGGGAGTCTGAATGGTGACTCTGGGCAACAGAGGATCCCAATCTACAACCCTAATATGCAGATGAGGCCAGCCTTTGACCGTGCCCAATTGCTGAACATGACCTGGGGCTTTGCCCAGGCAGGAAGCCCTGCCAGTAACCCTGTCCAATCAGGAACATAACCTACTTCCCCAGCCAACAGAAAAGTGCAGCCAGTGAATTTGCATACCTGCAGAGCACAGACAATGGCTTAGATAATCACAAAGACCAGGATACAGCCCCACTCAACTTCAGGGCACAGCTGTGGCCCTGCCTGACCCCAGAGCACAGCCTGAGGCCACATCAGACTACTAAATCCTGCCTGCAGCCCTACCTACACACAGAGTCCACCCAGTGGCACCATCTGGTTGTAGAGCACAGTCTGAGATCCCACACAGTCCTGGAGGCTGCAGAGCACAGCCCAGAGTCCTACTCAACTGTGGAGTTCAACCAGTGGTACCATCCTGCCAGTGAACGTAGCCTGGGATTTTTCCCAACCAGAGGTGATTGCAGGGCTTAGTTAGTGGCCCACCTGACTTGCAGAGCACAATCAATAGCCCCACCCAAATAGGGATATGGTCTCCCAGTGGCCCTGCTTGAATAGAGCCCACCCAGCTGTGGAGTGCAGCCAGAGGCAACCCCCCCAACTCAGAGCATGAGCAGCGGTCTCACCCTACTACAGACCCCAATAACAAACCCTGCCTCCCAACAGAGGCTACCAAATGAGTACCCCAATACCCCCAAGCTGCAGTACCCGGTGAAGGTATTTCCCTGCAGAAGTGAACAAATTAAGTCTTGATGAGGGAGACAGACAAATGCACAAATACCAATGCAAGTAATCAAGCATCAGGAAGAAACAGATAAACATTATAACACTCAAACAAACAAACAAACTAACTAATAAAGTGCCAGTAACTGACCCTAAAGAAATGGAGAACTATCTGAAAAGGAATTCAAATAATTCTCTTAAAGAACTTCAGTGAGCTATGAAACACACAGACAGACATCTAAGCAAAATTAGGAAAACAATGCATGAACAAAATTAGAAGGTCAACAAAGAAATACAAACCATCAAAAAAACCCTACAAATACCCAGAAACCTTAAAGCTAAAGAATACAATGAAGAATTCAATAGAACAAAACATTTGTGGTTACCTATCAATAATTATTTTAAATGTAAATGGATTAAAGTCTTTTTTTTGTTTTTTTGTTTTTAAATTCTTTATTTATGCTATGACAGTATACAAAACTGCATACACACATATAATTCAACCTAGTAGATAAATATTACACTTTTTAAAATTACAGTAATGTCAAGACAGTTGGAATAAAGACTAATTTCATTCATATGAGCAAATTAGTTACAAAATCATGGATTGGCAAGTTTTTAAAGTTTATGTCAATGCTTCATTTTCATGCATATAGTTTACTTTTTCAAGTGAATTAATAACACAATTTCAAGTGCAAGTGGCAGACGAGGTGGCCGAGTGGATTAAAGTCTTTAATCAAAAGAAACAGAATGGCTGAATAGATTTAAAAAAAAAAAACAACCAATATCCCAGAAATATGCTGCCTACAAGAGATTCACTTGAGATTTAAGGATACATATAGAATGACGTAAAAAGATGGAAACAGACATTCTTAGCAAATAGTAACCAAAAAAAACAAAAAACAAAAAAAAAAACAAACCCAAAAAACAGGGATCACCATACTTATCAGGCAAAATAGATTTTAAGCTAAAAATGGTAACAAGGCACAAAGAAGGTCATTATACAATGAAAATGGGTCAATTCATCAAGAAGATATAACAATTATAAATATTTATGCATACAACTTTGGAGCACACAGCTAAGAGGAGAAAACAGCAATACGATAATAGTTGGGGACTTTAATACCCCACTCTCAACAATGGAGAGATCATCCAAACAGAGAATCAATCAGGAAACAGTGGATTTAAACAACACTACAGATCATACAGACAGAATAGACACACAGAACATTCCATCTGACAGCAGCAGGAAAGCAGAATACTTTTCTCAAGCTCACATGGAAGCTTCTCTAGGATAGATCATCTGGTAAGCCATAAAACTCAAGTACAAGAAGATAGAAATTGTATTGAGTATCTTTTATAAACATGATGATATGAACTAAAAATCAATAATGAGAAGCTGAAAATTCTCAAATACATGAAAATTGAGACATTCCAGACCAACTAATGGACCAAAAAATAAATAAAAATATATCTTGAGACAAACAAAAATGGAAACACAACATAAGAAAACCAAGGGGATTCAGTAAAAGCAGTTCTAACAGAGAATTCTGCAACGATAAAGTTTCAAGAAAAAAGAATGACTTCGAAAAAACAACCTAACTCTACACCTCTAGAACTAGTAAAAGAAGAATAAACGAAGTCCAAAGTTAGCAAGGAAGTAAATACTAACTGTTAGAGCAAAAGTAAATGAAATATAAAATAGAAAAACAATAGGAAGGATTAACAAAACTGAAAGTTGATTCATTGAAAAGATGAACAAAATTGACAAACCTTTAGCTAGACCAAGAAAAAGAGAACCTAAATAAATAAAATCAGAAATGCAAGAGGAGAAAAAGGAGCATGAGACTACTATGAACAATTATACACCAACTAATTGAATAGCCAACCTAGTAGTGGATCAACTCACCGAGGCTAAATAATGAAGAAATGGAAAATCTGAACAGAACAACCACAAGGGAAATAAATCAGTAATCACCCCCACCCCCACCACCAACAAATAAAATCCCAGGACCTGGTAAATTCTACTAAACATTTTTTTAAAAAAACATCCTTCTCAAATTCTTTAAAATTTTTTTTATCCTCACCTGAGGACATTTTTTCATTGATTTAGAGAGAGAGGGAGAGAGGAAGGGAGAGAGAGAAACATTGATGGGAGAGAGAAGCATCAATTGGATGCCTCTCCTACATACCCAGACAGGGAATCATATATGCCCAGACCAAGGATTGAACTTGTAACCTAGGTATGTGCCCTGACCAGGAATTGAATCTGCAACTTCTTGGTTACAGGACGACACTCCTAAAAAATCTGAAGAGGAAGGAACACTTCCAAATTCATTTTATGGGGCCAGCATTACCCTGATACAAATGCCAGAAAGGGACACTACAAGGAAATGACAGGCCAATATTCCTGATGAATACATGTATAAAAATTCATAACAAAAGACTAGCAAAACCAAATTCAACAACACATATGTAACACAATAAAGGTCATATTAGAGGAGCCCACAGCTAATGTCATATGCAACAATGAAAGGTTCAATGCTTTTTTTTTTTTTGTCAGGAACAAGGGTACACATGATCTCCACTCCTACTCAGCATAGTACTGGAAGTT